TTGTGTTCTCCCCACCTATAAACCTGTCCTGCTCTACCTTTCTTGTGTTCTTTTGACATCTTTTGACATCCATTTGTTTTTCTCTCCTTACAGGCGGTGGTGTCAGAGCAGGCTGATGCCGCAGTTCAGAGGTCTAGCCCAGACTGTGACCAGGCCTCGACCCGAGGCTCAGACCCCAGGCCAGAGGACAAGACCCTTCAACGTAGATCCACCAGTTCCATCAGAAGACAGCAGGTAGATTAGCACACACTACTGCCAATTATATCAAAGACAGCGCATAGGGCTAACATGCCCACAATTATCCGTTACCACTTTGCTCAGATCACATCAAAGCCATAGAGGGGGGATATGAAGGAAATGGTCTGAGAATCATGTGATTTATCAGACCCTGCCTCTGCCAACCTTTGTCCTGAACTCCACAACACACACACAGATGCCCCTCCTACTGTGACCAGGCCGGCGTGTGCTGCTGGTTTCACGCATGCCTTGGGCTCAGGCACTGGCTAATTTACCGCTTCAGCAGTACATTATGAACAAGAAAGAAGCTTTTGATCTTCTCAGTATTCCACTCATAAGTTTGGCAGGACATGTTTCTAGATGGCCTCACTCACTGTAAAGCTGGCCTGAAGACACATTGTTTGATTTATACCGCTGTCCTCATTATAGCCTCAATGGAAGGGCTTCTGGTTTGGTAGTTTATACATGTAATGTAATTATTTTGTACAAAATAAATAAATAGTATTGATATCATTTGATGTGCTTCCCTTTTCTGGAGGCTCTGCTGTGTTTGCCCTAGGACACACACACGTACACAATCTGTCTGTCGTGCAGCTACAGTTAATTATTTAGAAATATGCCAATTTTGATCCTTGTGCTGATATTGTGAATCAGTGGGACTGTAATGCATTTTTCACACAATACATTTTTGATATCTTATTACACTGAATAAAAACATGAATCATAATAGGATTTTTTAAAGTATAAATCAGTGTTTAACATCATTCAGATGGATTGTCCTTTTCAAGAAGACACTAAACCTGCCTATCAAACTAGACCTACAGTTAGAATTCAGCATTTTGAACCTTTTCAGCACATTTACATACCTTTCATGAGTATAAAATGAGTGCTGATAGCAAAAATCTGTATTGATAGGACACCTAGTCCTACTCCTTCTCACCACATGGGCAGGGCATGGCACATTATTTCACAGATGACACAAAAAGTCCATAAATAAGATTGTCCCTGTCACACATGTACATGCCTGAACTTCACTTGATGTGATGCTATAGTCCTCTTTGCCCCTAACCCCACTATTGCAAACAAACATTTACAAATTCAATTCTAATGCTGCAACATTATCATATAGCAGCGGCTCGGCAAACATTACTCAAACTCGGCAAACTTACTCAGTAATAGAAATTGTATGACACGATTTCAAATGAAAAATAGAAAAGGATTGACAAAGTAATAGTTTAAAATTGAATGAGTTTATAACTCAATTGAATGAAAGTTTAAGGTATAATTTCAGATTTAATTTTCACAGTTCAGTTTGTTTATGAACACTTTCTTGTATTTCCTGAGTGGTGACTACAAAGCTGTCATGTCAGGCTGCTGGGAGTGAACCAACATTCTTCACTCCTGCAGCCCCCAGCCACGTGGCACAGTGGCATGTTCATCTCTTCAGCCAGTACTTGAATCATCCTCTCCTTCACTGAGTCAAAAGAGCTGTTAAATTGTTGTAAACATCATATGAACTTCATAAATCAAGTTGCTGTTGTTAAAAACATGAGAACATTTTGAACAGTTGTCGCTGTTGGCTGCTTAATATCCAAATATGATGATGCTCCAAATAAGCCATAAACCTGATATGCTTCATTACACACCATTTAAACAATAATTCCAAACTGCAAGGTCAAAAACTGATGAAATGAGCCTTCTGTGCAGCCCACTGCTACCACCTAGGACACAATTTGCAGCTCTTTCAGTAAGTGCCTAAAGTGAAATGTGATTATTGGCTGAGGCGACAAGCAGTTCACAGTGGTACATGGCTCGCAGTTTGCTACATACAGTGGGTGTCAAACTGATGCTTGCCATTTTGTAAAAGACAGGTGCTTTGTTTTTGTCTCCAAAAGAAATAGAAGTTTGTTTTTTCTGAATTTGAGTGAAGAAAGTTTTTTTTAAACTAGGAAAACTGATTTGAAAGCATGAATAGCTTATAATTGATTAAGAAAACTTAAGTTTATTAATATTAATTTGATTCAAAACCATTTAGAGTTTTGCTAAATAATTGTCTCACAAATTACTGGTTTATTTCAGTGGTTCACTATAAGCATAGGTTTGATTCAAAAAGTTTACACAGTATCCTCTTCTTGTTTTTGAGCTTGCTTACTTGAAGGAACTACTCCACACCATGTTGTTTACCCACTACATTCAGTTCTCAGGTTACTGGCTCTTATATTAGTCAGCTGGTTACCAGTGTCTCTTGGTCTTTTGTGCTGCTTTTTATATATTTTATTTTGTATGTGTGATACATTTGGTATAGATTTGCTTTGTGATTATGTGCGCACCCATGTGTTTGCATTGTTTGCATGTCAATGTGTGTTTGTCTATCTACAGTATCTATGCATCTTGTCCTGTGCTTGTGTGCATGTGTACAACATTCATATTCGCTCGGGAACGTGAACAAGTTCAGCTTTGAGAGCTCCAGACACACACATGACATGCTGCTGCAATCATAAAGAAGCCCATTGATGACAGTGACCCCTCTCTCTGGGAGATGGAGAGAGAGAGAGGGTGCAGGGGCGGGGAAAGAGGAGGGAGGCAGTCGATGAAATGTTTCTTCTTTGCTCCACAGCCAGTGACACTGACCCCTCAGTAAATAAGAGTTTTACTCTTGCTTGCATAGAGACTCCGTTTAGATACCGGCCTCTCTCCTCATTCCCCTCTCACTGTATGCCCTCCGCCCCTCCATCTGCATTGCACTCTCATGTTTACAGAGCCATTACAGGGTGCGATGCACAGGTCAGGTCATGGCCGCCAACCAGCTGCCGAGCCGAGGTAGATGGTGGGCACATCTTTCTTTGCCTTGTGTTCTCTGCTTTCATCTTTCAAGCCTGTCTTGTGGAACATTAACAACAATGTCGCAACAACATAGAGCTTCCCACACAAACAGAAGGCATTCATGTGTCTTCTGGACCTGCGGCAGACAGGCGTGCGACTGGACCAGAGAGAACATCTGCAGCAAATCTCAGTCATTTGTCAGTGTCAGTGTGTCATCTTCTTCTGTACCGCTTCAGACAAAACACACTGCAGTTTCTCCACTCTGGCTTTCACATACAGAGTTACCGTGCTGATAGAATATTCAGCTCATAAATGAATAAATTCTCCCCAAAAATGTATTTCTACCTGAAAACCTATTTAGAATGAATCCTCGATAAGTCATACTTCATAGTTGGTCATCTTTACTTTTAATCCTAGGCATTTTAGTTGATTTGGATTCCCCTTTTGGCCCCTGTGTTTCCCCCATGTACATACAGGCTAAGCCAGTTGGCCTGCCACTCATCAGGAATATGCAGATCAATCTGCTAATTAGTTACATAGAGTCATTAAGGCTGAGTTAGAACACATGGTTGGCACCCATGCAGGCGTGATAGCAGAAGTGGGCACACCAGGTCACTGGAGTCAACTGTAGCCCCAGAGCACATTCCCAAACACACTTACATACAACACATTTTTGTCACAAGCAAACAATTTCACAAATATGCATGTAGTAGTGATGAAATGAGAATGTTGTCACTATCTACTGATGCTATTACTATTTTAGTAATATTTTTAAAACATAAAATTTTTGTGCAATTGTTATTAAATGTGCAATATTGGAAACTACCTCCTTATAGGTTTTCACTGTTAGTTTTAAAGTTCACCTCACACACTGCAGTCCACAGTTTGTTTGGCTGCACTACAAACAAATATATGACTTTCTCTTCCTCTGTTGCAATGGAACACTGGTACCTGTTTTATTAAAACACACTTCCCTTTACCTCCAGCAACCACAGGTGTCACCAAATCAACCAGTGCAGAAATCTTAAGTTTTATAACTTTAACAGACAATACAGCTAGTAACAGCTATCAGAACACTTTTGAGGGAGGGGGCATATTGATCCACCACTATGATAAAATTAGTCACTCCACCACCACCACCCCCGCTTCCTCCTCCTGTACTCCTCATCCACTCCTGCCCAAGGACTGTTGTGTGTTTAGTCACATTGCATATTTTAGCCTGCCATCTGGTCAGCCCTGCCTAGCACCGCAGGGGGCCTCCTATCCTCTCATATTCATATTCCACTAGCATATTGTTCCCACTGCTTTTCTACAGCGCAGCCCCAGCAATTCTGTACTTCTTTATTTATTTCAACAGAAGAGGCTGGCTAGCAAACTGCACTCCCCCCCCTAATCGGCGGCTCTTCCAGTTGTCCTATCAAGTGTAACCTGGAGGCCCCTGGTAGAGCAATTAGAGCGGCCTCCCTGCCCACCTCTTGTAATGAAGCCCAGCACATTCTGGAATCTATAGCCCCTTTAGTCTCCCCTAATGGGACATCATTATTGTCAAAGAAACAATGTAAATGGAAATGAACATACTCATTAGCCAGTCGCAGGGAGAAACCTTTGCCGCTCTCAGCTTGCAACTCCCGCTTCCAAACACACACATACACACACACAAAAGTGTGCCTCCTCCCTTTGGCTTCTGCGGACTGCTGCTCCAGCTTGCTTTATTCCTCTGGCAGCATGTTTATTTGAATGTGCATATGTGTGTACTGAAGAAGACAATGTGCATGTTTACTTCAAGGTGAGGGGGAAATGAAATGAACATGGATAATTCCATTATTGGCATTCACTCAGTGTTTCTACAGATGTTAATTGTTACATGGGTTTGTGCCTGTCTATGTAAGTGAAGTGTGCTCAAGTTCTCACCCCAGTACTTCTTTGCTTACCTGTCCCAGGGTGCACCTGTGCAGCGGTCCAGGTCTCTGTCCCCAGCCAGCAGTGTGGAGTTGGATAGTGGGAGGAGAAGAAGAGCACAACAGAGGATGCAAGACCTTGAGGAGCTGCTGCAATTGAAGGTAACTACTTTCTAAAATAGATGTATTCACATAACATCCCGTCCTTTTCTCTCATCGACGTGAAACTGTTTATGCCCCGCTCTTCTTTAATGTTTGTCTTGTATTTCCTGCAGTCCACATCACCTTCCTTGCCTTTTCTGTCTTGATCTTGTGTCTCAGTTTTTCCACACTCACCAGTGGCTGTTGACTGATTTTGAAATACTTAAAGGTATTGTTAGTTGAATGGCTTAGTGGTGTCCAGCTGATAACCTGGAGCACTAGACATGCCTAATGGAGCTGCTTGTTGCTGCGGCTCCTATCTCACGTATGATTGCTGCTATCAGCTGCTGGGTTGCAGGAATGTCTGCAGCACTGTAACAGTCACAGTCTCCAAAGGGTTCAATTGCACTACTGCTGCCACTGCCTCCTCCATTACCTTATTTTACAGTGCTTTTCACTCACTCGCACACACATACACACACGTACACATATGTGCACACACAAACAGAGTGTGCGTAGGCAGTGAAGCAGCAGGAGAGGAGCTGCTTTGGTGAAAATGGATGCAGCAGGGTTTTTTCCCTTAAACGAATCAGCTTTATTGGTCTTTTAACCTTCACATGCGCTATGACGTCTTTCTCCCACTATTCTTAAGTCCCATGTCTTTTTCACTCTCTCTCTCTCTCTCTCTCTCAAATTCACTGTAAGCTAAATACACTTAATTTTCACCTCTCCCCTATGTTTCTTTTAAGGTCTCCAAATTTGACTTTCTGTCTTTTATTTTATGTCAGCAGAGTATATTTTTCACTGTTTTTCACTGGCATCGTCTTTTCTTATTTGGACTACCCTAAAGCTTGTTACCTCTCTTTATCCTTTCCTTCTTCTAGGCTGACCATTGAGGGAGTGATTATGCAGAGGTCATCTTCCTTTGAGCACAATCCCAGGAACACATTAGGCATCATTTTCTTGTCAGATCTGAAGTGTCTGAATTACATCACTGGCAGACACCTAGTCAGACAGTAATGCTCAATGTAGATTCAGACGACACGCATGAATGTCTTAGTTAATAGTGCCATTTACGTGTCTGCCGGTTGAGGGGCATTTAGAATAGGTATGCAGAGAAAAAAACGTGATTGCCAACTCACATCTGTGACCAAATTAGTGAGGGCATTTGTTCAGATTGTGATTTAGTGGTTATGTCCTTTGCTTTGATCTGGCATTGAACAACATGCCCTCTATCAGCTGCAGTTGAGACCTCACCTCCAGCCTCTTATGGTACCGTATTGCATTCTGTCCAGTCCGTCGTTCTTAAGTTGATCCAATCCAGTTCTTTCCAACAGAATGCCTTTCAAAGTGGGTACGCCGGCCTGTACCACTGACACGTTGACCTTAGCAGCTAACAGCAGCAGACAAACAAACAATTCTCATAATAATGGCCTCTTCTTTTTTTTTTTTCCTCCTTCCGCACACTTTCAAGTAAACAGTAGCTGTTGCTGTGTAATTATTTTTCAGCTTGAGAACGTCCACAGATGTGTATGCTGGCTGAGTAAGAGGGTGTATTGATCTGTGGGCAAGGGTCTGTGGCCTGATGACCAAAGCTGAGCTGCCCAGGGGAAGCTCTATAAGGAGCCTGGGAAGCCATGATGTGGCTAATGCCCTGCCACTTGCTGTATCCAGCCCCTCCATCAGTCAGCCTCAACTCTTCTGTGTCCTCCCCCAGCTCCTAGTTCCACCAGTTAACACTGCCCCGGTCTGGCCCCTTTCATTAGAGCCTTGTTTTTGAGAGGTCGGGGGCTGCTTGAAGCGGCTGAGGATGTCTTGCAGATGTCCTCTGTGAATAATCCGCACTAGGGAAAATCCATACTTGTCACATTGGCAGTGTGAATGTGTATCATGTGTGTGCGTACACCCGTTGTGTGTCTGGTGCATGTTTGTGTGCTGCCTCTGTTCTCTTTGTCCTTGTTAATAATAACAGGGCTGAGGGCTCGCATTTCCCTCTCTGCAGGGCAGCCGTGTCATATCAGCAGTAAACAAGCTTCTTCCCTTCAGAAAGCACTCGACAACTCTCCCTAGCCCTGGCCACTCAAGCAGAAACCTGTCCTGCGCTCTCCTTTTCACTTCCCCTTTTGCTTCGCTCTTTCTCTTTCTTCTCTTTCTAATTTCTCTGTTCTCGCTCTTTCTCCTTCCTCTGTTTTCATCAGCTGCCTCTCTCTCTTTTTCTTTTGCTCTCTTTCCACCTCTGTTTGTCCTGCCTGTTGAAAGTGTTTTCTCCATCGCCCTCGCTGTTAAGGTCAGTGTGATGGGGAGGAGGGGTGCCCCTGACAAGAAAAATCTATATGTTGTCTTCTCTTACTCCGTCTTTAAAGCAGGAGCCCAATCTTGCTGTGTTTTAATAGCTGTCAACAACAGTGTCAGCAACAATCCCACTGCTACAGCCCCCACCAACACAACATGTGCTGGTCATCAGTTGGTAACTCCAGTGAGTGAGTTTCTTTTCTGGTTAAAGAGTGTGTATGTGGTGTGTGCGTGTGTGTGCGTGTGCATGTATGCCCGCCTGGTGTTCTGAGGCCCCATTGACTCGTCGTGTTAATGTCGTCCTTTAATGATGTCTCAGTTGCCCAGTGAGAGTGGAAGCACTTGTCAGGGAGAGAGGAAAAGAGAGAAAAGAATCTTAACCTGCTGGTTTCTGTCAGACAAAGGTGTTCCAGCTGTAGACCAGTTTAAATATTTAGACGGTGAGGGACGTTTCTCAGCTTCACTGCCACACCGCTGAGCCAGTGCACATGAAGCTGACTCCCCTATTCAATTAAGTTGTGTTTCACTTGACATGTACAACTTTTGAAAAAACAAAAAAACAAATTTTGTCACTGTGTCTTACAGATGGAGGAGAATGAAGAGCTGAGGAAGGCTCATGATAAACGCCGTGAACGTCTGTGTCTGATTCAGACCAACTACAAGACAGTCAGAGACCAGCTGAAAGAGGTGGAAAAATCAAATGGCTTGTGAGTACACAGTTTAATGTTAAGCAACAAACTCTTGTCACACAACACATTGGGAAAATATGATGCTACATACAATGCACATGACATCTTGGTGTACACACAGTAGATCCTTAAAACCCACACAACCTTCTGCATATATAAAACAACTTGGATAACTTCCAGTTTCTTCCAGCAGCTGTGAGTAAGAGACATTTCAAATCACATAACTCACCTTGCCTTATGTTAAAAGCCCTTGTGAAATGCTACAACCCTCTGAAACTGCTCACAAATAGTCTTAGGGCCTCATTGCTCCCCACATGTTGTCTGACAAGACCTGAGTGCTGGATTTGGGAAAATGGGTAAAATTCCTCCCTTTGCCTTTGAAAAGCTCAGAGGTTTTTAAGCCCAGTCAATTTGGGCCGTTTTGTGCCAAGTGTGTGCGCGCTTCTGCGTCTCTTCTCCCTTAGCGTTCATTAGGATGTGAGAACCAGAGGCTGGGGTGTCTGGTCCTGGGGTGCAAGGTGTTTGAGAAGGCCTGTGGAGGGAGGAGGGAAGAGGGAGGAAAGGGGGGGCATTTCCTGCTTCAACCTGTTATCTTCACCAGAAACCACAGGATTTTTACACAAATTGGAAAATGTGCTGGCAAATGTCATTAATATAAGGGTCTTGTTGTTTCCATTGTCTCCCCCAGTCTTTTCCCACTTTTTCTGTCCCTTGTTTCTTCTCTCCTGCAGTGTCTTTGAGTCCATTTTAAAATATAGCTAAAGGTGCATATGTTTGGTGGCCACGCGGGAGCAAAGTGTTGACCCCGTCAGCTGTTTTCTCTCAGGGTTAATTAAAGAAAACAGCAGTGCAATGTGAGCCCGTGTGAAAGTGGAGTGAGTGTGAGAGTGTGTTCAGCGCTAGGCTCGACTCGGCTCATGTCAGCTCAGCGCGGCTCAACAGCATGTGTCTGAGACAGTGGGAACAAAGACAGAGAGCTGTAGAGAGAGAAAACTCTCAGAGTCAACACCAGTTGTGCCTCTGTTATACATTTTAGCAGGTTATCAAAGAAATATTAGTGTTCTTTTGTACACTGCCTGAAAACCTCGATTTGTGCAAGAAGAAAACATGTATGTTTCTATAATGAGACCAACTGGGCTGTCGCTGTGAGTAAAGTGCTAAGAAGACCTAGAGCCTGAGTTTGTTGTCTCAGTGTCAGTGTATCTGTATTTCATGACTGATTTGACATGAAATTGATGCAATAGGCAGCTTTGCCCTTTTCAGTCAGAGCCCTCCATGGCACCAGCCAGTCACTCAATGTTATGATCCTGGCATTCATTTGGCATTAAGCTCCATCCTTAAATAGCTGTTAAACCCACTGGGGTAATGCCAGGCTGAATGAGAGACAATAGAAAATGACTTAAATACTCCCATTAGTGCTGGGAAATCAGGGCCCTAACAAGTCAGTGGGGATAGGCGTCGAGTCTCATTGCATTTCGAGCTTGTTAGGGATTTCCCTGTAGCTTCCATGCTGTGTTGTTGCCTTTTTGGAAAGATGCGGGGGGTCGGTTTTGTTTCCCCCTTTGTGTGCAGGACAAAACGATAAGACGGCATGCGTCTCCCTTCTTACCTGCTACGCACTATATATTTATGCACACATACATATCCACACATATACATATTTATATATATATATATATATATACTGTATATGCTTTCCAGTTCACTTGAATGGGAAAGTGGTCTCAACCTTTTTTTTTTTTTTTTGGTCCACTCTGTATATGTACATTAAACACAAACATTATTCTTCTTTACCATCTAGATTTCAGTTTGCCTCATATCAGTCTTCATCTCTCATCAGCAGAATACGGTATTGAATCAGACAATTGGTTGCTTAATGGCCAGCTGCTGGGTGACGTCACATGTGTTTGTGCTAACAAGTTCCGCCCAAGTTAGAACTACCAGCCAATCACAAAGCAGACAAAGGTTCCATTGGCTCATCTGTATGCAGGCGGCGTGCAGTTGGCCAGTCCCAGTGAAACTACCCTGCCATTCACCATTACCACCATATTTTCCCAAAATGGCATGAAGGAGTGGGGGAAAAAAGCCAACTTCTTATTTATATTAGAGAAGGGAAAAAGTTTTTTAATCAGACTGGGGATGATGGGGGTGAGCAAATAAAATTAAAGGTTATTAAAGCATCCGTACTCTGATCAAAGTTGCGCCCATAAACAGATTCCCCCTGAATCAGAGCAATTAGCCGCAGCGGCGTGGAAAAGTTCTTTCTATTTCCTCCTGCTTAATAATGGAAACTTGGATACCACAGGGAAGGAAGCACTGAGGCCTGAAGAAGATAGCTCTCTCATGGCTCCGTGTTCAACAGCTTTTAGGCCCACTGTAAACAAATTAAAATGTATAAAGCTTTACCGTAATAAAGCTTCATACACCTTTCATAAGAAACACAGTTGATACACTACATAGCTAAAAATCACACAGAGAGAATTAAAACAGAGCTGTGGGTAAATTATCATGTACTTTCACAGCTCCAGGCAGAGTTAAGGTAGTGCAGACTGGATTCACTGTGTGCTTGCAGTAGAATAAGTAAAAGTGTATCAATCTCTGTGACTATACAGTGAGATTATCCGTTAAGTAGCTTTGCACTCTGGGAAACTAACCCAAGCCCACAGATTGCACACACATACATACACTGCAAAGAAGTTCAAGGGCTCCAAATTGCTCACAGGGGCATTAGCAGTATTAAATGAAAACATTTGCCGTTTCTCAGTAGCCTCCAACTCCCAGGCACCAGGGTTTAACTAGTATTAGCGTAGCGTGGCGGCGTCTACATAGCCAATAATGACCACGGTAAAAGGAGCCCTCCGCAATAGCAGTGACCCTCACAATCCATTTCCACACCTCTACCTCATTGATTGAGTGGAAATGAGAAACTGTGTATGTGTGTGTGTATGTGTGTCTGTCTGTGTGACAAAAATGGTATTCTCTTCTCATCTGCTACTTTTGCAATCTGTGGATTTCTCACTAAAAGCCGTTTTAGTTTGCAAATGAAAGGCTAATTGGAATTGAATGTGTTGGGCTAAGACTGATTGATGAGTTGGGCAGTGTGCAGGGATGCAATTGGGGGCCGTACGGACGGTGCGCATGTGTGAGTTGAAGGGAAAGTTCAATGGAGGGGGCAGCTAGTGAGCACAAAGTGTCATTAAGTATTCATAAGTGAGAAGTAGACATTTGAATGACCTCGTTTGCGAGTGTGTTTTTGCCATTATTTACATTTGCATGGCACACAGGGAATGCTTCACTGCCCTGCCACACGGACAGTGCCCTGGGCTTTAACAAACATGCATACGTGTGTACATGATTTGCCACTGAAATGTCAAAGTCAAGGCTGCTCATTTGAATACTGCTAAAGATGGCTGAATAACAAAAACAGAGTGAGACTAAGGGATCTTGTTACCCCATGTGGACTGGCCACAGGGAACAAGGTAATGTACAATATCAACCAGTTTCCCTTGTTAGTATGTTTGCTTTCCATGTATATGTATGTGTGCTCTGTGTATATGTGGGGCTTTGCTTGCCTCTATATTTGCACTTTTGTCTTCTTATGTATTGTGTGTGTGTGTGTGTGTGTGTGTGTGTGTGTGTGTGTGTGTGTGTGTGTGTGTGTGTGTGTGTGTGTGTGTCCGTCCTTCACTGTAATGGCTTCCATTCACTGTCTCCATTATTCTCCACTCTCTCCCTCCCACACAGACCTGACTTCGATTCTCCTTCAGTCTGGTGAAGTCCTGCACAGACCACACGCACACACCACACACCAGCACACCACACACACACAACACACACACACACACACACACACACACACACACAACACACACACACCAAACCACACCACACACACAGCACACACACACACACACACACACACACACACACACACACACACACACAACTAGCACTAAGAAGACAAAAGTGCAAACTATAGAGGCAAGCAAAGCGCCCCACATATACACAGAGCACACATACATATACATGAAAGCAAGACATTACTAACAAGAAACGTGGGATATTGTACATACCTTGTCCTCAGTGGCCAGTCCACATGGGGTAAGCAGTCCCTTAGTCTCACTCTGTTTGTTAGTTCAGCCATCGTTTGAGCTTGATAATTCAAATGAGCAGCCTTGACTTTGACATTTCAGTGGCAAATCAGTGACAACACCGTATGCGATGTTTGGTTAAAGCCCAGGGCACTGGTCCGTGTGGCAGGGCAGTGAAGCAGTTCCCTGTGTGCCATGCAAATGTAAATAATGCAAAAACACGACTCGCCAAACGCGAGTCATTCAATATGTCTACTTCTCACTTATGTAATACCTAGATGACACTTTGTGCACTCCACTAGCTGCCCCCTCCATTGAACTTCTCTTCTCCAACTCACACAGCATATGCAGCAACACTCCGTAACTGCCTCAATTGCATCCGCTGCACACTGCCCAACTCATCAGATCAGTCTAGCCCAACACATTCTAATCCGAATTAGCCTATTCATGGTTGCAAATCTAAAACGGCTTTTAGTGAGAAAATCCACAGATTGCAAAAAGTAGCAGATGAGAAGAGAATACCATTGTCACACAGACAGACAACACATACCACACAACACATACACAGTTTCTCATTTCCACTCAAATCAATGAGTATAGAGGTTGTGGAAATGGATTTGTGAGGGTCACTGCTATTGCGGAGGGCTCCTTTTACCGTAGTACATTTATTGGCTTA